AGCGAGGCGGATGATTCTGGTGAAGAACTCTCCGGCGTAAACATCGAGAGGTGTGGCATTGTCTTCATAGGAATTTCCACTTTTATCTGAAGGTAAAGCATCAATTTTGTAAGCAGAAATCTTTATGGGCAAGTACTCTGGCATTTTTTACCTGTCCACACGATATACCGTAATGAGGGACCATCGTCATCGGATTGAACGGCTCTTGCTTGATGAAAGGAACAAGCTGGTCTAGCGTCTGTGAAAATGACGTTTCGACAGGGTATGGAGAGGCGGGTGACAAAGGTCGATCCTGCAACTCTTCGCTAATAGTTTAGCCATTTACACACACAAATTTTGACTGTAAAAAAGCGTTCTTGCCAGCGAAAAAGCGGCTAAGTTTTGTTTGTTTTTGAAACACTGTAGCGGTAAGCAAGGAACCCAACCACGTTTCTATCATAGTTATGATTGATTCTACCTGTCTTCTCAACTCGATTATAGAGGACTATTTACAACCGAATGCTCTCTTTTCGTCAACTGCTACTGTCAAAGCAAAACAACGCGGCTAAAAAAAGAATTGACCAGATCACGCCCTCTTTCTGCAACAAATAACCCTAACTTATATGCCCATGAAAAAATGACTGCATTTGTCAAACAGAATCGTAAAAAAATCTAGTATAATGTAACCAAAATCTTATCCCACGCTGGAGGTCCGAATAATCCTCTAACGTTGAACTAGAGAACTATCATGATGCAATATGATAAATCTAAACTAGTATTGAATGATGGCATTGTGAGGATAGTTGAGTCAAAGAATTTTTTTAATAAGAGGTTTTGCGCAGGACACAAAACCGAGAAGATAACAGAGTATGTAATGGTACCTTAGGATGACCTAACCACTATAGTGAGCTTGGAATTTTTCATCTAAGGCATCGTATTATCTACGGTGAAAGCTCCAGGACATGAGAATCAATGAGACTCACAGGTGTAGGAGATTCTTGGCATGGGAATGCAGCAGGATAAGTATGTCGCATATTGTAAATCCAAGAGTTCGCTTGCAGAGTAGCTGCTTCGATGCCACTGAAAACAAAAATTCACCGCTTTCTCTGTGATTTTGTGTGTTCTCTAACCAAACCTTAGCGTTTGATAATAGCAATGGATCACATGCCGAACTCGTCGTCCATCCTGTTGTTCGTGGCTAAGATTTCCACGCACTGCAAATACCGTATGCAACCATATCCACTCGTCGGCCGCCGTCCGCATTTTGATGAGCGCCAGAACAGAGCCCTCCTTTTCCTGGCA